ATGGCACCATGCCATCCTGAATCACTCTGAACTGTCCTGCTAACACAATGTTAAAAATGGTTATGGCAGCAAGCAGGTCTTTCACACTAGGATCCTCAACTTTAACATCTCTAGAACTGAATCACTGTTAAAATGGTGGCAAGTTCTTGCAACTTCTACACTGTAGGCAAGGTCTTTGACTACTGCTAGAAATTAAAATGACTATCAGTTTAGCAATGCAAGCTGAACCATCTGATTATTTAATTAGCCTTGATAAGACAACCACATTAGCTGACGTTTCATTCATTTGACTATCATATCTCAATCCACTTTACACTAGAATCCAGCTACAAATTAAATTGGTCAATGGCAATAAATAAGATGCAATTAGGACATTAAATTTAAGAGCAGTAAAAGTTCTTAAATAGAAGCTAATCATCACTGCTACATTAATTTTCCACACTGTGGTGAAAACTTACCAGAGTCAGGGGAGAGGCAGCGGGATGCTGCGCCAGTAGCCAAAAGTGAAACCGTAACAGCTCACAGACGAAGATCAAAAGAAAAGCCTGCAGCAGAGCTGGCGATGGCTCCCGCATCTGCCTGGCCACACTTTATAAAAGCGTGCCAAGGGCGACTGGCTGGGCAGGCACCTGGCGCCAAGAGAAAAGGTCTGGCAGGAAGGAAGCCAGAAGGACTGGAAACAGTGTCCCCGGCCAGCCTGGGGAGGAGACTTGGTGGCTCCCTCAGAAGGGGGGCACAAAAGGAATGCTGGGCCAGTGAGGGCCCAAGGAACCGCTTATGGAGCCGGTGTGGACTGAAGTCAGCAGCCGCAGAGACTGGGACACCAGTGAATACAATGAGGACAGGACCCTGACCCAAACGACAGGTGGCAGGTACCGAACTCGGGGAGCAAACGACGTGTCAAGGGGGGCTGGAGCCCGGGTAGAATCTGGCTCCACATAAGCCGAGAGCAAAGAGGGGCCACAGGGAGTGCTTGGGACAAGTATCACCAGTAGCCAATGACTGCAGCCCCTAAGAAACCGAGCGCCAGGGAGGGCCAGAGCATTGGCCCTGACAGACAACACCATGGTTGGCATTAGGCAGGCTGTAGGGGAGGTGGTGTCCCAAGAAGAAAACCACAAGGATGGCCGAGGGAAAATACCAGGGGAGGCAGGACCAGACCTCGTCCTCCTGACAGAAAACTACTCGAAGACGTGGCAGGCAAGACCACTGGGAAACTGACCCAAAGCCACTCCCAATAGCCTGGCCGTGCAGCCCAAGAAGCCACAGCAAAGTTCGTGAAGAGTCCAAACACGCAACGCTTGGGGGAGAGGCACGGGAGGTTACACACATAAAGACTGCACCCCTTTAAGCCAGGGGCAGGCAATTATTTCAGGTGGAGGGCCACTTACGGCTGCTGATGGCTTGCCAAAACTCAGTATAACAGGCAGCCAAGGGCAAACAACTATTAAATTTTCTAAATGTTTTAGGGGCCTCGTGGGCTGGACAGAGTGGCCTGGCGGGCCACATTTTGCCCGCACCTGCTTTAAGCCAAGATTTCAAAGTAGGAATGCACGGAGAAACATCTAACCTGCCCTCAAATTTAAGTGGTCTTAAGACCGCGCTCAGTTTAAACTTGGCTTGTACAAAAGTCTCGTAGCTGTAGTTACCAAGTGCTTATTAGTTCAGAAGTTATTCCCCAATTTTATTTCACTTTGAGATTATGGCATTCTTTAAGTGCAAAACTCTGAAATGCCTCACAACAAACAACTCCCACACTATACAAACTATATAGTTTAAGTATACTTCTAAATATTAGCATGGCACTATCCCTGCATTACTAGATTAGAAGAATATATTATTCTACAAAGGTCAAAAGTGCAAGCAAATTGTCAAGTTCCCCATCAGAAGTCTCTGTTAGAGCTGGAAACTGAATCTCAGACCTCATGCATCTATTCCAGGGGTGTCAAACATAGGGCCCATGGTGTTGCTCTACCCAGCCCACAGAACGGCATGAAATTGGGGGTAAAAAAAATAGCCCTACTTACCAGCCTGTGGCTGTTTTCAGAACAGGAGGGGGAAAGGGAGTGAAGGAAGTTCAGTGTGGGGTTTTTCTTTTTTTTTTTTTTTTAGCCATGTCTAG